CGCGACTCTCTCTCTCTCTCTCTCTCTCTCTCTCTCTCTCTCTCTCTCTCTCCTCTCTCTTACCTGTACCAATATACGTGCCTCGACAATGTCCGCATTCTGCGATATTTGCAGTGCTCGTAGAGCGTAGCTTCTCTCCGAGTAAACATCGTGAGAGATAAGGTGCACACCCAGGCGCAGCACCTTGATTTAACCAGCATCGCGGCGAGTCGGACGGCGAAGGGGGCACTCACGATTCTCCCGAGTGTGAGGGAATTTCAGTCTCGAAGGAAGAAGCTTCCCCTTGAGAGAAGTCTTCAACCTGCGAGCAGGCGATCTTTTTAATCGTTTTTTTTCCTCTGACAAACGCCGAGAAAAGATTATTCGACGCGAAAAAAACGCGCTTTTCCGCGCGCATTCTCGCGGTCACGATTTTAATTAAACGAGACGAAGACGAGAAACCGGAAAATCGCACGCGCGCGGAAGGGGAGAGGGCGAGGGTGGTGTACGCGTACGTATTATAGCTATCCGAGAGTCAGATCCCGGGGCCTGAGCGAACGACGGGCATTAAACCTATTAAGACGGCAGAGCCGCGGCGTCAAGAGATGACAGTGATAAACTCGGCCCTCTGACACGGAGGTCCCTCTCTCGGAAGAGTACCTCCGCGAGGAATTAGCGTTTCTCTCTCCCTCCTGCCCGGTGCCTCTCGCTCGCGCCAGCGAGGCAGGCGTTCTCGGAGGCTTAACGCTTGAGAAAAAGCTAGGAGGATGCCCGGTCGGTCGTAGGCGACCTCGATGAGAACGTGGACGAGCCCGCAGAAACGGCAAAGCCGTGAGGCGAGCCAGAAGGGCAGCAAGGATGGCTGGCCTCGTATATCGTTACAGTTTATTATAATATAATTATGTATCCTCGGAAGAGAGGGATATACCACCGTCGATCGGCGGGGCGGATAGTCAGCTCCGCTCCCCGGCTCAAATGGCTGAGCAAATACGGAGTCACGAAGTCGTCCGGGATCATCTGATCGTGCGGGGACGGGTTCACCAATTCCTACCTCCTCTCGCGAAGTCACGCTCTACGCTCTCGCCACGGGGGTCGGCAGTCCACCCCGTTGCTCCTCTCTCCCGAGTGTTTCTGCGCACCTACGACCCACCGGAACCTCGTGACAATGCGCTTACAGCGCACCGTACGCTGTCGCCGATGCGATCTCACTCCAATTAACGATCGTACTTTTAGGAACCTGTCCCGACCCGGGGAACCTGCCAGGGGAAAAACGATCGTTCACTTTTCCTCGTTATATCGCGGCTTCTCCGGCGGAGCCACGGGCCACGCGGACGCGCACGACGTGCAACGGTTCGATGCACGATTCGCGCGCGGCGCGCGTTTTTAGACAACTTCCCGCGGGACCGGGACGATCCGCCGATCGAGGACTCGACGCCCCGAGACGTTTTAGCATGGCGATCGGGACATCGGGTTCGCATTCGGCCCCCTCTTAACTATTGGCTGCGCCGCGAAATTTATGCAGCCGTCAGAATATGGCTTCGCCACTACGAAATATATGGTATAATAATTCTCGATATCAGGTGCCTTTAATCACCTTAAATCCACAGCCCGGGCACACCCCGTGTTCACTTAACTTCAGGGTTATCTTAATCTTTCGACAGCTGCCCAGCGCCTACTCAATCGTTTCTGCTCTCCTTCACCCTCGACTCGGCTACGGCGCTCTGCTTCCTTTATCCTTCCACTCCTTTCTTGTCTCGCCTCATTCTTGCCCCGCGGCCCTGATACACAAACGCACTTGCGTACAGCGCGAATTTCGTGTCTGCGAACAGTAGAAGGTGTCGACGATCACGTTGAATATCCTCAATATATCAGCAGATCTTCGTTCTGCGAATATATAATTCGTATCGCGAAAGCCGTTGTCCGTTTATTAGGAATTTCGAAGGGAAAAATGTAGGCGTAATAAAGCTCACAAAAATTTATTGTTAAAATTGTTATGACCATCTAGAAAATAACTTTGGAAGAAATCCTAAAAGTATTAATTTGCTACTTCAACATTTTCCACTTACGTCTTTTACATTCATCGACAGTATTATTAATGATAATTTTGCCTTAAATCACACGTCAGCAATAAGAAGTCTCGTGCGTCAAGACGGTTATACGATGGAACGGCGATGCGTCTCGTATCTCGCCTGTAAACAAACGTATATTACGCCGGTACGTGCTGTCTAACAAAACTTTTACGTGTCCACAGGTTACGACCGGCTTCACCTCGTCTTCGGTGCCAACGAGAGGAGAGAAGGCGCTAACGATGCCAGTGGGAAAGATGCGAGATAACTACTCGGCAGTAACTAGCTGCCAGCTGAATGTGCGGAGAGAGCTCGCTCGTCCGCCCGCTCGCTCGCCTATCCGCAGTTTGATTACTATGGCAGGAAATTGGGATTGTCGGATTCGCGTTGACTAGCTTCGCAACCATGCGAGAATTTCCGATGGACAGCGAGATCCAGCGGTGAGTTCTTCATTCTTTTTCCTCCGGCCACTTTGCATGTCACGCTCCGATGCGCACTCGCGATACCGAGGACGGATCGTAACGTCTGTATCATTCGTTCATTATTACACAGCTGGGAAACGCCTCGGAACAATTCTGAAAATTGTATCTCACGAACGGGCACGATTCACCACTCCACGTGTATCGCGTTCATCGAGACGTAATTGATCGACTTAATCGGTCCGGGCACGTCATCCTAACGTGCTTTCTCGCGAAATTGCAGTGCCGATATACTTTCGCGCACGTATCGAAATCGGTGGCCTCGACATCCGCAGGAAGACCATTGTTTCTCGCATTTAAATAGGCGTCGCCGTTCCGCGAACCGAGGAGGGTCGGTCGCGCCGAAAGAAGCGACCTAATTGTCGGCGATATCGTACACGTATTACGCTACCTAAGTATGCACTTTAGGTGCGTGGCGGCGGACGTCTCGAACGTGTGTGTACTAGTGTACCTTATTACGCGGTGGATCCTTTCAACGCGTACGGGTAGATGCAGAGGAAACGATAGTGATTCCGGCTTGTTAAACTCCTCCTTTAATTGCCCTTGGGTTTTCATCGTCCGTGCGTATACACGCCGAGATATCGTCTTAACTCGTCTCCCCGCGTACAACCGGCCGTACGCCGTCCAAGACGAACGTGTCGGCGCGGGGATTATTTAGCGGAAACGCGGATATGGCCTTTCCGCGTCCTTGAATTTCCTCGTCCCCTCTTCTTCCTTTCGCGCGGTGCTTTTCTTACGTCACCTACATTTTTTATCCTCGGCATTTCGGTAAGACGCGCATGTCGTCCGTGTTCGTCGTGTATTTTTATTCTTATTCGTCTGATTGCTGTTCGAGTGAAGAATTCGATCGAGCGAGGGTGCCGATTCTTTTCATGCCGCGCCTGGGTCGCGCGGCTCGTATACGGCAGTGCATTATTTTCCAATATTACATCAACGACGGGGAGCGAAGGACGCAGGACGAGAAGAGAGAGAGAGAGAGAGAGAGAGACTCCATCGGATCACGCACGGTTAAATTTCCGAGTCGGGGGAAACCGGGGGCGGAGGGCGACGGATACGGGAGAGAGAGAGAGAAAGGAGGGTCGGCGAGTAGCGGGGTTAAGCAGACCCGAGGGACACGTCGTCTCGGGCTTCGAAATTCCCTAATCGATCGTGCGCTCTCTCGACTCGAATCGAGATTGAAAGGTTCGCGTGCATTGCTCCAGAAATGAAGGAGCAATTTCAAGCGTTCGCTCGCTCGCTCGCTCGCTCGCTCGCCCGCTCGCCCGCAGCCACACGGATAATCTTTTAATTCGCTTCGGGAACGGCACGTTCCGTGGCCGCGAATTTTTCCACAGGCGGTCTAGAAAAGAATTATCTGCACGTCGTCGCGATCGATCTCACCGCGCGACCGAAATTGCCGTGCCTCGCTCGTTCGTTCCTCCCCCCCTCCTCCATACACCCCCTCGTCTCTCAGCTCTCCTCGTTGCGTTCTCCATTTTTAGTATGAAATAAAAAATTATTCCGCGCAAGCTGACAAGATCGATCTTTCGCTCGATCGTAAATCGTAGGCGTACCTCGGCGCGGGATTCTCTATTTTCGTTTTTGCCACCGGCAGCGCGAATAAAACTTGTCCCGCGCACGCCTCCGCGTCCGCACTAATAATACCGCGCGGAGAGATCGCCGTGTTAGTGAAATAATAGTCGGCAAGGTTGCGCGGGCTCGGCGTAGCGCGACGGAAAACAATAATCCGGCCCAAAAAACAATCGGAGTGGAAAAACGGCCGGCTGGAAAAACGCGTTTATATTTCACCGGTTGCGAGAGTGAATTCCCTTTGTGACTGTAGGATGACAATTTCACGGCATTTAGCCGCGACGCGACGCGGCGCGACGCGGCGGGCGGGCCCCGCGGTGGATGGACGCGCGAGCGCGAAACAATGCTCGCGCCGTTCGTTTTTCCTCTCCGTCTCTCGTGTCTCTTCATGCCACTCCATTCGAACCACTCCTCCCCCGCTTTTCTCTCTTTCTCCACCCGTATCCACCCCGTTCCGCGCTCTCTCCACGCCCGGTGGTCTCTTTCTCATCGTACGCCTCGTACCTCTTTCTGTTTTTAATCGGTAACAAAAGCGTTATTGCGGAAATTAAATGACACGTCGTATGGCAGCGCGCGCCGCGCGCGCGGAGGGCGAATTGTCGGCTTAAAAACGTTGGAGCGCGAAAAGCCCGCAGCGATAGCGCGGCCACGCGAATGGAATTTCAACGTTTCGCCGGTAAGTCACTTTTTGGCTTTGTACCCTGCTCGGTCTGCGAGCGTACCTACCACTTTTCGCTTTACGCCGCGATTCGCGTGGTCGTAGTGTTTCAGTAAAAGGCGCGTTCTCGCCGGACTCAATGTCGCTAATTACAAAAGAGAGCTCGGCGATAAAGTACAAATACAATATTGCATTAGCGCAGCAAATCAGTCGAATCGAGAGACAAATTAATCTCAAATTCATTAAGAATGTATATTAGAAAAGAAAAGCAATTACATTTTCGCTGTTGGACTTTTATTGTTATTATGTTTCATAAATATGTGGTGCGAGATCAATTTCGAAAGGGCTCTGCTCGTTCTCGACTTCTCACGCTATGACGGTGTGATACAAGTGGAACGCTTCAAGGTTTGAGCTTGCTTGTAATTTCGCGGATGGAAAGATTCGCGCGCGGCGCAGCGATCCGACGCGAAAATCGAGCCGCGCCGCTTTAATTGCGCATGCAAATCCGATCTGGCGGGCCAGTGGAGTCGACGTGTGGGCGCCGCGGTGGATCCGTCGACCCGGGGCCCAATTCTATTGTCTGATCTAGGATCTCCACTTAGGCGAAGTAATTGATAGATCCCTTTAGATGACGAAGGAGGGATCGAGGAATGACAGGTTACGGGCCCCGGGGATGCCGGGTTCGCACGACCCTACTTCGCTGCTGTGTTATTAGTTAATTCTTACAATTACTCGTCGTCCCTGTGGTTATTCCATTACCGTATAACTCTCTCGTAGATCACCTGGACTCTCTCCCCCCTCCCGTCGCGCTCGACCCGACGCACACACAAGGGAGGACCGCCGCAACCGGACGACATTCCCGATCGGCTTCGTGTTGTTGCTCGTTCGGTTCCTGGTGCGGGCCGATGCTTGATCGACTATCCGATGTATTTTACTCGCTTCCGCGTACGACAACAGGCTGGCATGCGTGGCATCCCCGTTTGATCGCGGAGAATTAAAATATCGGCTATTATTATTTTCCAAAATTTCAGTCCCCGATTTAACACATAAAGGTATCGATTGTTTGATAACATGTTTAACAACACGACTGATTTCATCTCTCTAATTTTAATTGAATTAATTATTTCATATTTACTCGTTTTACTCGTGTCAAAGTTTCAGTTAAGTCTTTAGATTCTACGAGAATTTTGTATAACAAATTGTAGGAATTAAGGATACAATAGATAAACGAAATGAATAATTAATACAAATATTAATTATTAGGAGAATAGATTAAGTTTAATAACGGAAAATAGCAAGCGATTATGTTATTTGCACGATCGGTAGACTTGTGTAGACGAAGAAACGACTCCCAACGCTAACAGCTTTGAATTCATAGCCATATATTTTTACGCTGAGCTGATCTGCAATGCCCGGACAATCAAAAGTGTCTATTGGTTTCCTCGCGTAAGCAGATCATCGTATTTTATCGAATCTTTTCGAGAATAACACGATACATAATAAGATCAACGTAATAATATTCTTACAAAATAATATCTCCTTCGCCGATTTTGCTAATTTTTTTAATTACACGATCGGATCGAAAGGCGAGTCATCTCGCGCGTTGCGATAGCGTTGCGGAGACCCAGCGTCGCACGGAACCGTGGAGGAGAAAAGTAGCGGCTTCGACGTGTAATCCGGCCGACGTCTCGTACGCGCGCGCACGCTAATAAATTGAATACTAACGAGCAGTGGTAACCTTGCGCACTCTTCGCCAAGTGAGAAAAAAGAGAGAGCCGGCGGCGTTAAATTCAGTTGGGAACAGAAAACTAATAGGCGCGCAAACACCGGCAGTCGTATGAAAATCGGGGACGCTTCGCAAAAGCGTATTATTATCTATGTGCCTCTACTTTGAATATCGCGCGATAAATGAAATTAATTTATGTAAAATAGAAAAAAAAGAGAGAAAGAGGAAAGGAAAATAATTGGTCGTCGAGGGGAAACGTAACTTCGCGCGCGGAGTAAATGTAGCGTGGCGATTTAATCTAGCCCACAAAGTCAGCGGCGGATCGTGAGACTCGTCCGACGTCTTAATTGTAGTGTAATGCTCGTTGTGCGTTAATGGTGTGAATGAACCGAGTATTTCAATTACGAGATAAAGCAACGATCTCTAAGCCGCATCTCCCATTCGCGGGGCTCTCGTGACCCACGTTAATCAGAACGACGATTAAAGCACCTCGCTTTACGAGTGAAAATCGCCCTAACGAGAGAACATCATCGTTCCGTGCGATCCCTGCATATTCTCCGATTCGACGAGTTTTTGGTCCACGCCGCAACGCCGGCGACCAACCAGACGCGAGAGAAGCGTCAGACTGAGAAAATAATTAGTAAACTAATGAAAAGCAGGCGTTAACATTTATTCGGCGCGACGTGCGCGGGTGCTTTCCGCGGTAATTAGATGCATTACCTTTTCACGCACGCGGGAGAGAACGGACATCGTGCTCGCGCGCGCGCGCAATATGATTGGCAGAAAATGGGCTGTGCGGGAATTAACGAGAGGTGAGAGGAACGCGGGCAAGTTCTTTCTTTCTACTTTTTTCCCCTTTTTTTGCGCAAGTTATGCGCGTGTAAGGGACGCTAAACGACTGTCGATCGTTTATTACGTGATGTATGATGACGGGAGCGAGGCGAGGAGCGATGTTGCACGTCGTCTCCGACGGCGACCGAATCACGATCGCGCCGCATACGCCGTTTT